AGTCCAGTCAACCCACCCAAGCCACTGCCCAAGGACAAGGAGGGTGGTAAGAAATCCTGGGCCCTGGAAGAGAACACTGACCTGCACCACTCCGTCACAAAACAAAGCGAGCAGAGCTGACTCACCTGCCAGCCATTTTGACCTGGATTTGCAGAGATCTTCACTTCATACTGAAGTGGGTACGGCATCAGCACAGGGTCGGACCAGCAGATCTTCACTTGACCTTTCTCTGTCATTTCTAGATGCAGGTTCAAAGGAGGTTCAGGCTTTACTGTGGACAAATTAATTGACAAGTTTACCACTAACCTTATTGCCTGTGACTGCTGGCGGCAATGGGTCTTTACTGACTCAGAAGTCTCTTTCACACCTTTTCTTTAAACTCAGTTTTCAAGAGCTGCTCTACAGCTAGGGTGTGACGGAGTAATGTTGTATAATATCACTGGAAAAGGGCACCCTGGCACTGTTATACAGTTAGTTACCAGGACATGCTGTTTGACCTAACGTTTGCCTTAAAACTACATTAATTTCTTGCCTTGGGCCATTATTCTTCCCAGTAACCAAGTAACTACCTTACCTGTTTTGCTGAAAAGAGGACTAAGAGGGATGGGAGCACGGAGCAAAGCAATTTGCTCAGCTCCTTAAGAAAGAGGAGATAATGTCCTCATATTGTACAAAAAGAATTTCTAAATATTCCCATCCCTTCCACAGTGATTACGGCTATGAAAGAAGGTCTCCAGGAGAGCTACATTAGGGCAAAGTAAAAATGGAGGGTTTCAGAAATTTCCCACAAGGATGAAGAGAACTCTCTGGAGAGGAAAACAGATGGGCAATTCACTCTTCCTCGGACAAAGGCAAGGAACCTAGATCTTACTTTTACCTGTTACCAAAACCCTTTCCTTACCTGGAACCTCCTACAGTTCCTGTGGGTCCATTCAAGTAGGAGTCTGCCTCTATCAATACCAGATTAAATACAAAATGGCCCTTCATTGATCTCTCAGCTCTTCAAGCTGTCTCATTTAAGTGGAGACACTGGAATCACACTCAGTTTACCAAAAACCTGTTATTATTTTCAGTATAGATTCACTACCCCAAGTCAGTCTCAAAGCAATTAACTTAATTTAGCCCATCAGGAAGTGATTTGAGATGAGGCAGAGCTTTTAAAGCAGAAGTCAGTAACCTTTACACCACACTTTGATGAATCTTACAACACAGATAGTGATGTCTGTTCTACTGCTGCCACCCATTCTACTGATAACATCTATAAGCAAGTACAACTCTACCTTACACAACTATTCATAATTTTACTTTCAAAATAACTTTTAATTGACCTAAATCTTGGCAGAACATATTCTAATATTATGCATTTTTAAAATATACTTCATTAAGCAGAACAAACTAATTATGTCATTTTAAATACTGGCAGACACAACTCTGAATTTTTAATTTTTTCCTGTAGCATAACTTAAAAGCAGCATAATGAAAAATGCAACGTCTCATCTTCAAAACTAGCCCACCCAGAGACTTTTAACTTATTCCATCTGCAAAGCACATCAGATAGGAAGTTTATAAAACTATTTTTTTTCCCCACAGCTGACAGAGTCCCCGCCTTTCTGAAATTTGCCAAGATCTCCAATAACTGCGCATATTGGATAGCAACACATATCAAATTCACAATGTCTGTATAGTTTTAACTTGATTAAATACAGAGGAATGTTTCCCAACTTGGAAAATGCTGGTATTGTATGTGTAAGAAAGCATCAGCACAACAGAGCTGCTTGAGAAAAGAGGTGGTTTTATTTGCTAAGTAACTTTAGGAACAGCTTTTTTCCCCCCTCACTTTTTCATTCAAGTCCTCAGCAACACAGACAGATAAGCGCCACCACTGTCCCAGACTCAGGCACAGAGAGGTCCTGCTTAGAAATGAAAGCTCAAGTATGCTGATGGCCTGGCCTCTGCTCAGTATGGTTTTGTACTGGAGCCCAGACAGGCATTAAGCAGCTAAGAAACGTGTACAGCACTGCCCCGAGCGAGTGAGACAGCACCGGGAAGCCTTTTCCTGTCCTGTCTGTGCCCTCCTCCTCCAGGAGAGACATCCTGCTGCTGTTCTCCATTAAAAAAGGTTTAAAATATGGGTCATACTTACCTATGTCTATGGGCTTTACTGACATCAAAGGTGACCACAGAGGCGTTACACCCATCATCATCTTCAGCCACATGATGTAAGTGTGGCTGAGTCTCAGAGAAGGCACGCAGCACTCACACTTGTCAGACTCACTACAGTCACACTGAGCAACCATGACAGTCCCCTTCAGAGAACGTGTAGATACATCTCCCAGTGACAGCTCTGATCTGCAAGGGAAAAAACAAACCATCAACCAAAACAAATCATTATTTCTTTCTATACTGTAGAAAAAAATAAAAAAGGAAAAAAGGAAAAAAGGCAGTAATTGTAATTGTAAAAGCTTTTGCTTTGCTGCATCTGCATTTTTAAATGGTTTCCAAGCAAAGTAGTTAAGATGATTTCACAAAAAGTATTCCGAAGGTTTGACTTTAAAACAAACGTGTTATAATACTAGATGATACCTGTAGTTTAGTCAGACTAGTTTCTGATGCTTGATGGTAACCATGACCAGGCACACAAAGTTAGTTTACCTTACGGTGGACTAACTGACAGCTCTCTGCCACTCCCATAGAGATTATGGTCTAATTCCTATTCATGAGGCACTGAAATAAAATCTAAACAATTTCACATTCCTTCCAGCTTCTGCTACAATTAAGCATTATGAGTAATATAATAATCAACAACAATTATTCAAGTGAAAAATCAAGGCTAAAGAACTCCACCCCTCAGATCACACTTTAGTACTCATTTTCAAGAACTTGCAGTATTGAAAAAAAAAACAGACGCCTGTGAGCTCCCAAAGTCTTAACATCATGCAGTTAATTCCAAGATAAGGCCTTAATTATTTTTACATAGACTATGTTTGTCTGTAAAATAGTCTGATGTTTCCTGGGAAAGCAAATTATTTACTCACACGCATTACTACTATTGTCTTGGACAGGCTCGTGGAAAGTATTTAGTAAGTAACTTTCTGCATTTTGCCTTTATTGCTTCTCAGAGTAAAGTTCATGGGACTATTTTTGACTGAATGTTCACATTTAGTTTCAAGCTTTTTTTATTGTTTTTTTTTTCTTCTTTTTCTGTAACACTCCTTCCGTGAGAGTTTAACATGCAGAATTTTTGATAACATAATCCACTCCAAAGATTGTGTAAACTTTCGAAGTCTTAAATAACTAGTAGGCGCGTGAGCGTAATATGTTTCATACACAGTTTAATCAGATTTTCCAGTAATATGATTTCAATGCACTTTAAATGAAATAAATTACAAAGTAGCATATACTAATACAAGCAGTCATGCATTATGTCTCTGGATGCTAGCAAATGTTTTATAGCATACAAAAAGAACATACGCATCCACACCGAAACACAGGCAATCACGTTTAGTTTATATCTCTAAAACATACACTGTTTTCCTTGGGTCAACTTCAAGAAGCGGCATGAAGAAGACCCATACTAGTTCCCCTGCACACACTAGTACACAGCTGCTTTTCAAGTATGTTTTACAGGAATTTTTAAAGCAATCCTCCTGTGTATGAATACCCTTCTATACATTCAGTCTCCGTTGACTTCAGTCAAACTATTCTCGATTTATGAAATACCGCACAAGTGGGCACAACAGCAGCCAGCAGTTCCAAATTCTTTATTCTCGTTTTTATTCCACAGATAGTCTTTAGGCTCTTTCAAACACAGACACACGTTTCTGGTGTACTGCAGGTATTCAGTGACACAGGCCTCCTTAAGGTAGTGAATTTAATAGCATCAGTACTTTGTGGCCAAACTTCTCACAGCAGCAAAGCCAAGAAAAATCCTGACTGTTAAACCATTCTGGATTCTTTCCTGCTTTTGACATTTCATCCTTACAAAAAAAAAAAAGCTCAGGTTTTGAACTGTTCTGAAGTAATTTTGGCATTATATCTGTACAATAAGGGTTTTGTTTTACTAATTCAGAGAAAGAAATTGAAGTTAATAGAATAAGAACCTTTCTGTGAAAGTTTTAAATAGTTTTAGAGTTGGTATGACCCATTGCAACACTTGAATTCAGGGGGGCAGAGAACTCTACATTGGAGGAGAAGAAAGGATAAGAGTTTCCGCTTTTTTTGCTTTTAGTCAGTTTGGGATCTAGTACATTTTATCGACTGTAGAGCACAGGGGAAATGGCCATGATTCACTGATCCCATTACCTTTAAAAAAGAAAAGGTCAAAAACTGAGGAGAGGTGGGAAGCGAACAAAGGGCTGATGAATTCCGGGGAAGAGCGCGTGCAAATCACGCTGACCAGCACCGCCGGGGAACCCACAATGTACACAGGCAGACCTCCTCAAATCGGGCCCCACTCCCCTCGTCGTTCGCTCATCAACATACACACATTACGCATCCACCTCGTTTTTAGGATACTCTCTGAAGCTGGTAACACAAGGATTTTCAATAACACTGTGCCCTCATAGCACCTGTACCCTGCAGTAATGACCCCAGAAGCTATGCAGGTCCATATGCATGTGTAGTTTGCATTTATTCGTGCTACAGTCAGTCAATACTGACATTCCTAAAACAATTTTTACCAGGACTCATAGACTTGAGGACATGAGAATTATGGAACCTTATGCTGATGGTATCTGGCAGACAGACAACTTTTGAATTACTTGGAATACTGTTGTTTTTATAGTTGTGGCTCCACTGCTTTCTCCTGAATTTCCTTTCAAAGACTTCACAGAATTTTCTTTTAAGTTTCCCTGCCTTCTATTGTTGCTCACAGACCTTATTAGTCTCCAAAACCCCACTATCAATCCTTAAGAACGCAATCTTTCCATCAAACCATGTATTTATTCTGATCTATCTGGAAAGCAGTTAACTCCATCTTTCTCCTAATCATTCCTAATAATTATTTCAATTTTTAACTGTCAAACTGAGCTTATTTGCACCCAGGAGACCACCTGTGTAGAGGGGGAAAAAATGCTAGACAGCTTCTCTCCGTGTTGTGTTGCGCCAGTATTGTGTTTCAAATGCCACTTATTTGGGAGTAAACAGTCATTGGCTGTTTTTCCTCCCTGCTCCCACCGCACAAACCTTTCCACTTGTTTACTCTATAAAATGCTGTGTGTCACGATGCAAAGGTAACTGGAGGAAAACCCTGTGGCTCCATGCCAGGCAGGTCTTCCACCCCTTGTGACGGAGAATTGCCAGTATCTCACTTCTATGCTGTAGGCTTCTCTTCCAGCTCACTACCTCTGCAGGCAGGGCAAAGCACGGGGAAAGACCAAGCTTTCAGTGTTATCAGATGCCAGGTCCACTCCTGGAGGAAGATATTCAGATACTAAGAAACAGGGTATTGACTTTTGCATTTCCATGAACTGGCAAGACACAGGGACAACCTCACAAAATTGAGTTTGGGCTAAGAGAACAGATCCGTGAAGGACATGAGCATGAGGGGCCCCCGTATCAACTTCTTCCAAATTGCCAAGCCTTGGCTAAAGGAGACCTGATTACAAGCAAACCAATGAAAGCCAAAGTATTTTGGAGAACTGCGGCAGCCTGGGATTGCACAAGCAGCCTGTCATCCTCAGTTTGGCTGCAGATGGATCCAGTCATGGAATAAACATTGCTCCTAAACTGTAGATACTGACTGACTTTAGAGGAGGTTATGCTTATAAAGCCCTCACACGTTCAGGAGAGGTCAGTGCCTTCATTCAGTAGAATGAGAGGAGAAATTGTGGGTAAACTTAAAACAAAGCAATGGGCTATTAAAAACTGGAGTTTTCCATCAGACTTGCAGCACACTGAGAGAAGCTATAAATCCTGGTTCAACAAGCACTTTACCTCAGGCAACAGTGATCAGATTAAGCCAGATCCAAACGGGGGGGGGGGGGGGGGGGGGCGGG